TTTTTATATTCGTGTTTAGAATACATTAAAAAAAAATTAGGGTAAAGAATGCATTTATAGAAATTGTTAATGGTAGTTCTTATAGGGTAAATAATTCAACGAAGCTCAACACTTTCTACTTATATGGAAAATATGAGAAAATGTAAATATTAATTAAATATAGTAAGGATATGATAGTGGCGATAGATAATATGATTAAAGAGGAATTAAAATAGGCAAATGGTTGAGGATTTGGGTATTATAAATAAATCACTTATAATGGCGAATATAATATGAAGAATCTGAAAGAATGTAGATAGAATATTTTAGCTTGGGAAAAATAAATGTAAGTTTAAGAATAGTAATGATATTTTAGTGGTGGCTGGCCATATAATTAAGAGGAAATTAAGATTGGAAAAGTGGGTAGAGTTGGGTAAAGAGTTTGAGGAACACAATTATGTGATATATTATGGTGAATATAATATGAAGGATAAAGGGATGGAACATATAAATAAATGTATATTTTATAGTAATAATAATTTAGTGGTGGTGGATCATATGATTAAAATGGAATATAAAATTTTGGGAAATTATGGCTGCTTAATCATTTCTGAACATATCGTCATTTTAATAATTTTAAAAAATATTACTTCTATCCTAAATACATAAGATATAAATATTCTAACCAAAAACGAAATTTAAAGAATTCTTAACATTTACTAAATGAATATCTTATAATCATATAATATAATTTATCATCTTATCATAATATTTTAAGGAATGAATAACCATATGATTTTTCCTTTATCTAATATCTATGATACTAATCAAGTATTTGATCAGCATAATTAGTAAAAGATATTATCTCCTCCATTTATTATAGATACTGATGATAATTAGAAATAAACTTTAATCAAATAATTGTCTTATAATCTATATTATTGATTAATTCTTAAATTTTTTTTTTTTCACTTCAATTTATTAACTCTTATTATAATTATTATTTTTATTAATAATAATTTCCTACTGATATTGACTAATACCATTTAATGGTTTGAAATTAATATTCAATTATTGCAAAATTGAATTTGAGAATAAAAATTTCACTTTTTTAGAATCAATTAGTTATCTTCTAATAGGAATATAAGAATTGAAAGAATAAACTTAGGTTATAATTTTTCTAGCTTTATATTGAGGAAAAATTAAATATTGAGAATTTTAGTTGGTTCTTAAATCTATCAAAAAAATGAAAAAATCCAAAAATTATTATTTCCTTTAATAAAGCATAATTATGAGATATATAATATGCCATAAGTTAAATCTTAAATAAATCAAAAACTAAATATTTAAGAGTAAGAAATAGACCAGTTGAATAAAAGCAAATATAAGTTTGTAAAAATAAAGATTCTAATCGTAATTATGCAAGTTCATTAAATTATATATGATAAAAGATATAGTAATTTTGAGAAGGTAGAGGAATATAGAGTATAACTAAATGAGATCTTAATAAATTCAGAATTATTAAATAAAATAGAATAGAAAAAATATCTTTATTGGTAAGGTTAATTGGATCGAATAATAAGAAAAATGAAAGATGGATGACCAGAAGTTATCAACTCTGTGAAATTTATTAAAATGATTAAGCCTTTACTTTGATTAATGATATGTTGATCCTTGAAAAAAGAGTTATTCTCTAATACAACTTAAGAGTAAAGAAAAAGCAGCTGCTTCATATTAATTTTAAGGCATTAATGAGTATAATATTTATGGTTGAACTTAAATGTATTAGATTATTAACAATAATTACAATTAAAAAGTAATAATTCATAATTTAATGATGAAGGACGACAACGCAAAAGCAAGCTTAGCTCAATTTAAAAAAAATTGTTAAAATCAAATAATGTATTATGCTTCAATTAATAAATCTTTTTAAATGGTTTATAAAACTAAAATACATGAGATATATAAATTTATTGATATAATATAATATCATTAAAAATAATCAAATTAGTTATTAATCCGTCAAGATATCTATAATGAATATCTACTCTTAATTTCAAAATAGATTTCAATAGAATTCC